TTTTTCTGGATACCTTGAAGTCTATCTGGTGATGAACCATGTGCTGCTACTTCTTCTTCTTTACATTGGAGAAATCTCACTTGGTTTGACCAAGTCAACCTTGTCCAGGAAATTGAGGATATCAGCTTCATGCTTCTTTGGTCCAGTCTGTTATCAGAGATGTTGCTCAGCAAGATTAAACCTGAAAGATCTCTTGACCATCTCATATAATAGCATTCAATGTGTGACAATAAATCAATTATATTAAATAATTTTGAATCAAAAAGAATGTGGTCATTCCCTGTACTCAATACCAGTTTCCCCTTCGGGTTTTAAGTATTATAATTGTGTATGTCTTCAAAACTGTCAAATCGTCAAGACTGTATAAAAGCTTAGAAGATACTCTATTCTTTTCTTCTTTTTTTCCTATAGTATTTTTCAATATTTTCCTTATGATCTTACTATGATCATTTTATGATTATTTCTTATTCTTGTATGATCATTGCCTATATGATCTAATATACTCATATGATCTTATTTTTTTCCTAATTATTCTCATATATTATTTATGATCTAATTTATTGTCATATGTTATTTCTTCTCATGTCATAATTATTAAACAAAACAAAAATTGGGGGGTATATTTCACGAAACGTGAAAAAGAAAACAATTTTTATATTTATACATATCATTCAATATAATAATCATATTCATAACTTTGATTTCCTATTACATGAAAAACATAATATACTATTCAAAAAAAGTAGGGGATATTTGATTTTGGGGGCATAATACTAAAATATGCAAATGACTACGAAAAAAGTCACTATAGAACCTAACAGAAGAAACATTTCCAGTTACATGTGACACCCAAACGCACCAATAGCTACCGCATGGAATGCAGGTGATGCTTGGGATCATCATGGGGGTCCAACCCAAGATTTGCACGACTCTGACTTTGAATGTTACAGTCATTGTGGCATTGAATTCCAGGGTGGAAACATCAGTTTAATTGTTTTAGTGACCAGAAAACAAATTTTGATATGCGTCGGCTTACCCAAAATAAAAGGTTACGTGCCCTTGGCATGCTACAGATCGGCACAACACAGGCGGTTGTGGCGCGGACGATGAATGTTTCTCAGTCTGTCATAAGCAGGCTATGGTCCAGACAACTCCTTGAGAAATCGTGTCATCACAGCAAATCAGATCAGCGCTCATCTTCAAACAGACACTGGTGTGAGAGTGAGTGGCCAAACGATTCGGAATCGACTGCATAGGGGTCACCTTCGCGCCCGACGTCCTCGCGTGATCCCTTGTTTGAGAGATCATCACATTCAGGCAAGACGTCGTTGGTGTAGGAGTCGTCAACACTGGGATAATCGACGCTGGAGCAATGTGATGTTTTCAGATGAGTCAAGGTTCACTGTTGATTTTTTGGACAGACGTAGGAGGGTGTGGCGTCGTCGAAACGAGCGCTTCCAAGACGTTAACATCATCAGACATGATTGATTTGGGGGTGGTTCTGTTATGGTGTGGGGAGGCATCACTGTTGCTGGAAGAACGGCTTTACATGTTGTTGCAGGGCGTGTTACAGGCCAGTACTACCGGGACAACATCTTGGCAGTCCATGTTGTGCCGTTCGCACGACGTCATGGCCGCCGTTTCATCTTCCAGGATGACAACGCAAGATGTCACAGGGCCAGGATCGTTACAGGTTACCTCCAACAACAGAACATCACCACGTTACCTTGGCCAGCACTGAGTCCCGACCTCTCCCCCATCGAGCATGTCTGGGACATGCTTGGACAGAGGTTACGTCAACGTCAACAACGTCCTGCCAATGTCCAAGAACTTGCTGCTGCGTTGCAACAGGAATGGGACAATCTGGACCAAAATACCCTTAGACGTCACATTAGGAGTATGCCACGTCGGATCAATGCTTGTTTGGCAAACAGAGGAGGATTTACCCGTTACTGACTTGGTTGTGATGCTGTGGTAACTTTGCTGTTTGACCCCGGGTATCATTTTACCCTTATAATGGTCAGTCTGTGCCTTACTTAGTCTAACGATCATTTGGAATAAATCGATGAATGTGAACTTCATTTCATTTTGTCATTTGTTTCTTCGTCAGTTTCATTAGGTGACTTTAATAACACTTAAAAATCAAATATCCCCTACTTTTTTTGAATAGTATAGTACTGCTATTATCTTATCTTTTACTTTAATTAAGTAAAAGAACTAAGTTTATGTGGTCTAATCAAACTTGTTAAAGTTTGTAAAATGCTTTGCATACTAATCATCACCAATATGGCCCAGCGCTGGAATGTCAGTAAAAAAGGATGGCCAGTATACCTTGCCGAAAAAACCTGATTATAGCAAAACAACAATAATTTTAAAAATAATTTAGACACAATGACCTTTTTCTTTTTAAATGAACATAATTTAATTTAATTATTTTTGTGGAAATTTTGGGGTTGTCAAATTTTAGTCGCTTTTTACGACACGCAATTCAACTAATGTTGGGCCTACTCTCTGCCCCACAGGGGAACGTAGTCACTATATCTATCTGTCTTAATTACAGTTGTATGCTAACATTCACATCCTTTTTTCAGATGGCAAGATTTCTGTAGTTGGTCTGATTTGATCTAACAGAACAGTGTCTCAGAGATAAAAGATATATGCTTGCTTCTTTGTCAAAAAGGCTTTTAACAATACTATTACCTTGATATGTGACAGTCACAAAATCTTTGTTCAGGAAGGCAATGGCATTTTTTATCAGTTTTCGTAAATTTTCGAGAAAGGTACAAGAAATAGTTGATTTAACATACCAAACCAATTCTCTGATCTCATATGAACCAAATCTAGGAATCCACTATACCGTATGTCAGATTCAGATGTCAACTATATTTCACTATATATTTTCAAATTACATTCTAGTATTTTTACTACACTGGAATCTAACATATTTCTTTAGATGGTGACCGATCAAATTGCCTATATTGCCATTATTGGTGTGCAGGGCTGTTCTTAGCTACAATATTGTACCCCAGGGCTCTATAAAAGTTGAGTGTGCCTGCGCACACACTTGAAAATGTGCCTGCAGGGTCATACTGAAACACGGGGATGTAGCCAGGATTTGGTGAGTGGTGTAAAAATATATTTGGCGAGTGGAGCGAGGCCAACAAATTTTTGGGAGGGGGGCGTGGTCTTTTATGAAAATTAAACCCTTTTTGGTGTATTTTCAGAGCATCTGTTGCCTTTTGTATTAGGTTCAGTGCAAATCGAATTTCCATTTATATATTCAAATTTTACCAAATTCACTTAATTTTCATCAATGATACAGGGATCTAAAAACTTTTTGACACCACTCGACCGAGCATAAAATTGTCCCACCCCACTCTGTTTCTCTGGATAGATAAGTTGAGGACCTTTCGGTATTTGTTGTTTTGTTGGGTTTTTTTTCAAATATTACTTTATTACTTTGAGATTAAAAATTAAAACGATTCTTAAAATGGTGTTTGTGTTTTATTTGAGTACAACGAATTATGACAACAGGTAGATATTGATGATTAAAACATGTATTATTTGACTTGTTTGTAAGTTGTTGTACGTGTCTCACGAATATTACCTATTATTATTACGGTGGAATGAGAATCAGGTCAGGCAGAAACTGAGAAAGCTCTCATCGTCCTCCTAGTCATACTCTCGGGCCGTAGCAAATCCACGGTCAACACAGGTAAGAAATAAAATAAGAAACATTGTGAAAATATGCAGGCACGTGTTGGACAATTACGACATTCAAACCTTTAACATCGGAGTGCCGTAAATTGGTCTGGGTGACCTATTTACGGCAAATAAACAAATATAAAGACCATTGTAAAATGAATAGACCTAGGCCTACACATCTTCTAAGTATAAATAAACAAAACATCAATACATCTTTCTTTAAACTAATTTGGGATGATAGGGTCTACTACGGCACACAAAAATAAATTATGTCGTGACAGACATGGCTTGCGTACGTCGGCTTTTACCATGGCTTTGCCGTGGTAAATTTTGAGCACTGAGTTTGTGTACAGAGAAGGATGAAGGGGTTTAAATACGACCGGGCGGCTTTCTTCGATTTTTTATTTGTGCTGGGCGGCAAAAAATGGGGCCGGCCGCAGGCGCCGCCCGGCGTGGCTACATCTTTAAAAATGTGCCTGCAAAAAAGTTTTTTCAAAGCAAATGTGATGGCGCACGCCGTGCGCATGTGCGCGGAAATATCGATGCCTGTTGTACCCGCATCCTGTCTTATCCAAAGCTACAATTCGAGACTTTGCGCAAGTAAAATCAAGTTCAGTTGCAAATTTTCACATATCATCACAGTTTGCATGGAAATAAATAATTATGTTACAAATAGTGAAGATTGGAACACTGAAATCTTAATCTTATATTACCGAACAGTTTCTGTATTTTCGAGTGACGTAAAATCACATGATTCTGGTTTGGCAGTCATTTTAAAATGAACAGAAATTTCACATAGCAGTTGGGTTTATTCAAATCATATAATTATACGGTAAGGTTTCACCTTTATTTCAGTGGTTTATTATATGTTAAGCTATGTAAGGTACAGTTTGGGGTCAATGTAATCGAAATTAAGGGAGTTATAGGTCAGTAACTTTTTTGTAGCCAAATGACTACAAATGTGCTCAAATGAATTCCATAGGACGATCCACTACTGTGGCTGGAGCAAGACGGAAGACATCAGAACCAGATCTTGTGACAGTGAATAATGGGAATTAAAAAAAAAACAACCCAAAAAACTGAAAGTGTAAGGTTAGATCTAAATATTAAGGCCATCTGCAGATTTCGTCACAGTCACAAGATGTAGGCTAAACAGGGCTAGTGCCAACCCGAGACCTAGCCCGAACCCACAATCCTCGGTGCAACAATCACGTGCCCTAACCCTGTTTGTTGTCAGAAAAAAAAAGAAAACATCTGATCAGGTACTGATTAGATAAAAGTTAGTCATGACCTACCTGTCAATCTCATCACTTGAATTTATGTTGGGAAAATTTATGGCTGCTATATTTCGCATTAAATTTGTCTTTTCCTGGCTTACACGCTTTAATTCCACTTCTAGTTTCTCGATCTTTGCTGATTGAAATTCAATAATCCTATCCTTATCAACGATGATTTGTTTTAATTCCTCCAATGTTCTTGGGCAATCAAAATCGATTGCTGATGAAGCCTGATCACTCATTTTGAACAGAGTTTTGCCAATCAAAACAAACACAAATTTAGACCGTGTCGGCCATATTTTGGAGACAGCGAAATTGACACCGATGATAATAACAAACGTTAGAAATAACAGCAGCGGAATTAATCATTATTCAATTGTAAAGTGAAGACAATTCATAAGTTATACTCAGGCTGGTGACATGGATTCTTTCCTTAAACGTTATTTTCACTTAAAATCCACTCTTGTGATGTATTTCTTAGAACTTTTTTCTAAGTTTACCCCTCTAATCTCACGCTCGCTATCGCTGCAGGAAGTCACGTGACTTTGATAAGGTGTACAAAAGGTTGTCGCCTATTCAGACTGTCAAAATATTAAAAAGATGACAAGGCCGCAATGATTCATTTTAAATTTAAATGAAATACATGCGCAGCCTACAACATGGGCTTACTATATAAAACATAGGTTCTGAAATGTAACGTACTGCAAACGCCTTTAGTTTATAATTTAAATTAATATACTAGGGGATTGTTTATAATTTATATAGGCCTACAATTGTTCAAATCTTATAGATCATAACTTATGTTTAGGCTATTTCAAGTTTACCCTGTTTTCTATTGATTTCCCCCGCTATATATCTATAGGCCAATAGAAAAATAGTAATATTACTAATAATATATAAGGCTACCCCGAGCTCGATTTCAATGTATAGGCTATAACTTAGCTCATTTTAACGTTAGTTGTTCGGATAGAAGAAAAACGCAGAGTTCCATGCGTACGCACATTAGTGTGCACGTAAAAGAACCCCTGACAGTTGAAATTCGAAATTATAGTAGGTCGTTGGCAAAATTTCCCTGACAGTTGGGAATACTCTGCATGGCGGGTGCATTCATTCATTATTAGCCCAATATCGGTACAGAAGAATGGGACGTTAAACCCCATTTCATTTCATGTTCTCAAAAGGTTTTATTACCGGTACATATAGGCATACCGTAACAACAACAACCTTTGCATGTTTTTTTAGTCTGAGACTGACTGCGGTGAGCACTTATTTTGAGACCGACTATTTTTTCCCTCATGGGAAAACATTTCTTAGACCAGGGAGTCACGGTGGCTAAGTCACAAGTGGGTAAGACTGGCTCGCTGCGGGCCTGGAGTCGCGTGTTCGATCCCTGCATCGGCCGAGAAAGTTCATCGTGATTGTCCGATATGTTTTCCACTCAGTCGGCCAAGGACAGCTGTCTAGTCGTTCGGATGGGACGAAAAACCAAGGCCCCATGCACGTGGAAATCCCCTGGCACTCAGTTGGAATTCGATATAAGAATAGGCCAGAGTGCCGTCAGGCAAAATTTCTCTCATAGCACACTGTATGGCGTATGCCCGTGTTCATTATTAGCCCAGTAGGGCCTATAGAGGAGCAGAAGACTGAACAGCAGGACGTTAAACCTCATTTCATTTCTTTATTAGACCAACGTATGGCGGCGATACGCACAACATAATAAGCGTGAAAACAAAATTTTTCAAACACGGCAAGTTGACAAGGTTATTTTCTATAGTTTTGCGTAAATAGTGTGACGTATGCCTACGCACGGATTCACGTAAAAAATACATTATTTGGGATTTTTCCCTTCTGTTTTGGCATTGTTTGTTTACGCCATTATCCATTTAGTTGCCGATGCATAATTTTTAGACCGACTGCACTTATTCGGGACGGACTATATTTTCGTGGAGGTGTGTGTGTGTTGGGGGGGGGGGGCTACCACCCCTCCCCTATCCCCTACATTTACGCCCCCGCCAACCGGGCTATATTCCGTCAAAGAAATTATTTGTGTATCTTGTGACCGTTATCTCCTTGACTTAGTTCTGTATTTCGTTTGTTTTTCGTGTTTTATATAACCTATAACTTTTTATACACTCCTAAAGGGGGATCACGTGGCTAAGTGGGTAGGACGCTAGCTCGCTAGTCTGGAGGTCGGGTGTTCTATCCCTGCATTGGCCGAGAAAGTTCATCCAGATTTTCCGGCGTGGTTCTCCCTTGTCAGTGATGCAGGACGGAGGGGCTGATAAGGAAAGCTGTCTAGTCGTTCGGATGGGACGAAAAACCGAGGTCCCGTACACATTGGCGTGCACGTAAAAGATCCCTTGGCAGTTGGAATTCGATATAAGAGTAGGCTGTAGTGCCGCTGTCCGGGCAAAATTTCCCTCATAGCACACTGTATGGCGTATGCCCGTCTTCATTAGCCTAGGTTAGGAGCAGAACAGTAGGACGTTAAACTCCATTTCATTTCATTTCATTTCATTTACACTCCTAAAGTTATAATCCGATTGACTTGGAGTTTATAAGCTTCAATAATGTAGCGGGCGTACTTGTCTTGTCCGCCGCTACACACTCTTCGAAGCTTCAAATGCAAAATTCTTAACACATATCACCACACTTGGCATAGAAAATCGGAACCGAGCTATTTGGTTTATAAACATACATTTTTAGCTTCATCAAAATCGAATAAAAATTGTGACCTTTAGAGTGTCCACAAGCTAAAACCTTGATTTTCCGTACAATCAAGGCCATAATCCATAAAGTTGCGATCCGATACATGCCAATATCGAATGGATCCGATATCTTTGGGGTATAAACCTGTATTTCAAGTTTCATCAAAATCAAATAAAAAATGTGACGATTCACTATAACCGTGGGCGCAAAAAAAAAAAAAAAAATTAAGATAGATAATATGGGACCTGTAGAAGGACTGTTAGAATTTTTGTTCTTTAAATTAATAATAGCATTATTTTGTATCTTGAAATTGGCTTAACATACATGTATTGAATGGAACATGAAAATGAATGATTGATAAGATGACATATTATAAAAAAGAGTTTTAATTTGGTAAACAGATATCAAGTGTAAAACTTTTGGTGTAAGTTTCTACTATCCAGAGACATATCAAAGTTTATTTAATAATTAAATGAAGTTTAATTTTAATGAAAAGTAAGAGTTGGTAATAAGATTTAGGAGTAATAATGTTATAGTTATATTAAAATAAAGATTTAAAATTAAAAATGGTTATTTCTTGGTCTGATGGCAATCACATGTTTGATTGACGGATAAAATTTGTACTTTGTTCAAAACCAATCATACTTAGAAGAAAAATGAAAATTTTCAACTTGAAACTGGTACCTGAAACAGACCAATAGCAATCCAAGAAGAAGAAATGGTTTACCAGTCTACCAAATTGAGATTTCCTGAGATAAAATTTAAAGTGAAAACTGAACTTTATAAATTAGAAGTGATGTGTTATAGTATTTTGAAATTAGGCCACTTGAAGATTTAACAAACAATTACAATTGTGTTTTCTGTGTTTAGGTTAAAGTGAATTGTTACAGAACTTTCTAGTGCAGTGATGAACTTTTGGAGATCGATTGCATGTGTTTATTTGTGTTTTCATTGATACTTATTGAAGCAAATATTGTGATCATATGTAATCTTGTATGTTAATCGTATAGTAATTATACATATGTGCATGTTGCATGAATACTGTAATTATATAATTATATGGTTTAGTAAATGGAATTTTTTAAGGGTCTCCTACCTTAAAATATCGCACAAATCTTAAGGTAATGTAATATCGATGGCGAAATTTGTTCTACATGTATACGTATATAATCCTATATATGTTGGTATGGTCGTTATAAAGGATTCAAGGGATCTTTTACCTTATACCGAGCTCTTTAAATTAATAATAGCATTATTTTATATCTTATTGAAGTTGACATATAAAAAAGAGTTATAATTTGGTAAACATTCAATTCTAGGTTGATAACAGATATCACGTGTGAAACTTTGGGTGTTCGTTCGTTCCTATCATAGACACTTGTTTTTGGTGTAAGTTTCCACTATCCATATAAGGGTGGTTTTCTACGTCATGAGGCTAATTAAACAAACATTATGCAAGAGCTAAATCTGTCTATTGCGAGTCTTTCTTTAGGCCTGAAATGTTATCTAAATTATTAATTAGACATTAATTAACTTATCCAGATCATAAGCAACGCTCGGAGTCATCGCTAGCCTGTGATATTTACTGGATTAGGATCCGATTTGCTGCTAAACTTTCATGAAATGGATACTCGAGGCTATGTTTTTTTTTATCGTACCGACTTTAGTAATTATGATCGGGGCTAGGCCGAAAATTAAATCGCTAAATTCTCGGTTCAGAGTGAATCGATTTGACTGAAATTTTCAGCAAATACCTTTACATTATCTATTTTTAACCTATTATAGTGAGAACTGTCAGCTCTTTATCTAATCTCCCACAATGTATCTTTAACCAATCACTATAATTAATTGCGTCATATTTGAACAATTAGATAGTTGAACGTCAAAACCCGAAGCTACAAAACTATTTCTGAGCATTCGGGAGACAGCCGCTTGATTTCATTGGGAGAGGATGTAGCAATTTCTATCAGAAGACTCGCTCTGGTTGGATTGGTATTGAGAGAATGGCTTTATTTTTATCTATTATGCATTGCACCATATGTAAGCAGCTTGATATATAAAATGTAAAAACGAACTGTTGCATTGTTATTCCCGGTAAGACAAACGTCTTAACTACTGAGATAGTAAGAAGCAAATGCACAGCGTGAAGGGGAAGCCAAAGAAGCTAGTGAAAATACTAGACGATCACAAGGTTTTAAGATATGTTGTAAGAAAAGATGCATAGGTTATACGTAGGATGTGGCGACCGGTTTGTCGGAGGCCCGCTGTCCACATCTGACAAACGACCCATGGTGCTACAGACCCCCACCCACCCTCTAAATCCGCGCATGGAGCCTTCTGTGTTTTAGAATCTGTCCACCCTGTGATATTTATTCCTGGGTCAGGTCAAATGTCAGAACAGATTCCAATATCGCGCCCTTATTGTGAGTCAAGAAAGATCTTACGGGAGATATAAGACAAAATGAAGATATTGTAAATCCCACTTGAAGACGTACCAGGTGAGCTCATCGGTCTCGTCGTTACTATATTAATTTTATTTGTCCTTCAACACTCTGTCATCGTTTGGCAACTAATTCTTAATAACAGATTAATTGTAGGCTGATAAACATTGCAAAGGCCATGTACAAGTTTGAGCAACTTCTAATCGAACTCAAGGATCGCATTTTTATACCTGCGCTATCATTCCAAGCAGCAGATCAAGGAATACGTAACAGAAATTCCATTTCCCAAATACTTATACATACACTCTACGTGGTGCCGCAAGGATTCAGTGTGGCTAAACAACCATGACAGAACCAGATCCAGTTTGGTTGCAACTAGGTGCTGATAGGACCCATCCATATTCAGGTTAAACCACCCCAATCTGGACTTTGAACATAATATAAGACAACGTTTTCTTTTTTTAAATAACTTTATTTTAGTGAAGCACAAATTGCACTGAAGCCCACACATCTGGTGTCTCTAACTATTACATATATTTCTATATACCAAGGTCACACCATTTTAATAAATCCCAAAATATATTAAAGAACATAGGTCAAAATACATGTGTGAATGTTTTGTCTTTTATAGAATAGAAAGCTCTAACACTCTAAAATGAGACATGTGCTGATATTGCAATAGCTACAGTTGCACTTGCATTTAAATTTAAGGTAAAATGTAAGTATCAAAGGAGAAGTCCAAGATAAACTTTAGTGCCAAAGAAAACCAGGTTAATTTGGGTGAAAAACTAGAAAACCTTTTTTCATACAAGGTTGGCCATAAGTTGTCCCCAAATTCCATGCTGTGTAAGTGCTTGGATAATTGTGTCCTTATTGTAAAAGTGATTGCCACAATTACCCAGTCACTCTAACAACTGAGAAATGAAATGAAATTGGGTTTAACTTCCTACTTTTCTGCACCAACCCAGTTTATGAAGACAGAACTGAAGAATGAAATTCTTTAAATGAATTACATAACCCAACAAGCAAATCTTGCAAAAATTTCCAAATGACTCAATATTTTGATTTGAATTTTTAAACAAGGTTAATTGGCTACATACATTATGGAATTTGATTTATATTAATACCCATTTTTACTAACTGCATCCTGTAAAAATGTGGGACCTTCCCTTTGAGAAGTAGACAGAAATAGACGGAAATGAATTACTGAAATTTAGATACTTTGAATCTAATATTGTTATTTACAAACACATCATGAAAGATTAAAATAGAGAAATTCAAAATGGCTGAAGTATGACTTTAGATAAACTAAGACCAATCCACACTCTTACTTCACTCTTCATGCATCAACTGGTTTTCTTCAAATAATCAATCTGTTGGTCCCATACAGTTGAACTTGTCAGTACTGCACCCTGTAATTATTGCCCTGTGAACTTACTTATTGCAAAATATATATGATGGAATGAAATTTGTCATAAAATTACATGAGGTTTAAATCTGTATATTCTTCATTCTGTAGAACTCATATAAAAATACATGTTACCTACTGGAATCATAAAATGATGTTAGAAATTCAATGAAATCTGAGTTAAAGCTATAAAGTTTATATTGGAAGACCAAATATTATCTATCAAAAATGCTGACAACATTTTTTTAAAGGAAACTATAAAAGTTTGTAAATTTCCAATTGTTATTTGTACAAATGACACAAAACTATAAAATTTTGTAAATTTCCAATTGTCTGTTTTACAATAAAAATAATCATTTTATAAAATGCAAACTTACAGTAAATACCGAGATAAGACAAAAAAACCACCCCAAAACAAATAATTTATATATAACTAACTATAGAATAATAATAAAGATAGGTTGACTGAAATGGAGTGACCTTGTTAACTTAAGCATTGGTGTAAATGTATGTAAAATCTAGAAAATACTAACATTGAACCCTAAATACATTTAGCAAGTAACCCAATCACAATATCTGATATAAATATAAATAAAGTGCATGAAGCTGTATAAATACACTGTAACAGACAATATTCCCATCAACAATAATTTACAATCACAAAAATATAGTGCAAATACATGTACTCTATATCATTGGATATAAAACCTGTTCATATTAGTAGTGATATTGTTACGAAAGAAGAATGGAACACATCTATATATGTTATTATCTTTTCCAAGAAAAAAATAAGAACTCTTCTAGTTTCAATCTAAATGCTTCAACCAAGTATCCCTTTTAAATTATTCAGAACTTGAAAGATCTTAAACCAACCTCTCACCTTAATTTTGCACCAAACATATTATGATGGGGCATAAACAGGACATTTGTTTTCTGCAAAGGCACATCACACATTAGAATTAGTACTGTACGAATTTGTTATACCATAAATCCCGTGTCCAAGAAAAATATATTTTTCAGTCAAGACTTTCCAGTTAAATATTCACTACAAGTTTAAATCTGGTTCTTAAAAATACAGCCGAAGAAGAACTTTAATTACTGTGTAATGTATTGCACAAACATGTAGTTTAACGGGCCTGTTTAACTAAGCAGTGGGAGGGTTAAAATTTATTTGATATTTTCCCCACTAAACAGCGTAGGTATGGAACACTAGTATAACCATAATTATTGCAATAACACAACGCGATATATGTAAGTACAACCCAACACTTTTTATCTGGATTTAGTAAATTACAAGTTAAAATTCATGTAATTAACATGGACACAAGGTATATGCAGTTTCAAAGGTGTAACTAAAGAATTTTAATTATAAATATTATAAATTTTCAAAAAAAGTTATCATTAATTTCATTTTAACTTCAATATATATACAATAGGGCTCAAACGAGTATACAAGCTAAAATAATTTGTTGTCATTAATCAGCCTTTTATAATACTAATTGTTGAATATGCATAGTAAATTTAGAAATTAGAACAGTTTAAGCTAATAATATGCATTGTAACCTCTCTATAAAGTCGTTTACAGGTCAAATGTTATTTTGGTTGCCAACAAATAATATAGGAATTAAAGTTTCCAAATGTATTTGAAAAATGTGAAAATTTGTAAAATTATAAGTTTGTTGATGGCCATAATATAGTAGCGGTATTTTTCAATACTGGATGAGGTTGTTTTTCATAAATTAATGACAGTATTGCTATGAGTTTACAGATTTGTTTTTTTTTTACAAAGTTATTAATAGTTGAACATTTTAAAATTAGTAACCTGTTGTTCAAAACAACAAAAAGTATGAAGTGTTATAATAGGTACAAGCCATCTCTGATTAATTATTCTTTTCCTTTAAAAATATTAATGGCAACAAGAAGACCACATTATTCGTTTGAGCACTAATGCAGTAATATTATAAATTTGAAAACCAAAAAAAAAACCAAATTAGTCTACTATAATTGCCTTTAGTAGTAAAATAACCGACAGATGTTCTATACTGTCTTATACAAGATAACATTATAGATTATTGTGATAACTATCAATCAATAAATGAAACAACGATAATATAAAGGCTTATATTTTATATATATGTTATAATAAATAAGTAAAATAATAACAAACATAACAAAATAATAATGCTTAAAATATAACAAAGCTTCCTGCTTATAGATTAGCATTGATAGTAAACAAACTACAATGTGCATAGATCTAGTTATTAATAGAACAGTCACAGTTAAGCACATTAAGAAATTATAAATGCATTTTGAAAACAAATCCACAAACACAATAACCATAACCATTATTTCATCTCTGAAAACAACCCCCTCTTCTTAAAGATAAGGTATAATATTAAAAGTATTAAACACAATAAAATACTACCTTCAACATTATACAAAAAAGTTGCAATACTTTTTAGATACAGTATTTCATCTGAATAAATATGTATTTAAAATATTTTTGTTGGAACTAATTTATTTTTACATGTACATGTATATTTCTCAAATATTAATCAAAAACCTGCTTTTATCTGAAATACATGTATTCCCTACTTTCTAGCCAGCCACATATAAAAATTGTCAATGTTTCAACCTTCTCACAAAGGCCATTCTTAAGTATGGATGGTTAAATGAAACACTGTGTATTCGAATTAATGACAAATTTAGTTGACTATAATCATGGCTATCAGTGATCTTAGCTAGGGATGTTTTTTATTTTAATTACAATTTTATGACCAGAAAGATTATCTTCAATTGAAACATATATAATTATGTTGCTGACTATTTAAGAATTTCAGCTGTATGAGGAAAAAATTAAAAGGTTTTGATTATCAGTCGGTACCGTACCAAATTCAATTAACTCATTCTATTTCTTTAAATGTTTATTCAGAATTTAAATTCCAAATAAAGGCACATCTCTCTAACATCTTGAATATGTTAAAAATTTAAAATGTTAGATGGGCAATTTAATACAAGGGACATAACTTCCATGAAGTATAATTGAATGTAACAATTACTGATAATGAGATGACACTCAATATAAATATTTCATAAACATTCTACAAAGTGTACTTCATACATATAAATACTTGACTAAAGGGGACAATTTGGCTTACATTCGAAACAGAACATCATTTCTAGCTTAAGTTACAAGTCAGTGATTAAATTTCCAAATTATCAAATTATTTCAAATGCTCTTTTAGGAGTTTAACATTATATAAACTTGCTCCAATAAGAAAATTTTACATGCAGCTGTGCCTACTAAGAATTTTTATTTCATATTCATGAAATAAAATAGGTAAGCTCATTTATTTAAAGAACTGATATTTGATGGGTACACATATGAGCAGTAAGCTTTAGAAAAGGCAATGTCAAATGTGTTTGCACTTTGTACAATTGAAGCATATTTACTGATAAGCCATAAAAACTGATTAATGAAACAACATGAATTAATATGGTCATATTATAAGAAAATAAACTAGATAGACACTAATTTTGATAACAAGCTCTCAATGACAAATACGTCTATGACTAGTATCAACATCAAATTTGGATACTCAAATAATGTGCAAAATACATTAAATATATATACCGAATGAAAACAACTCTAGAGTTGATAATTAAAGGTTTACAGTAGCACTCTATATGAACATTAACTGATCAACGTTATTTCGATCTAATAATTTCAAGGGGACAGAGTTCAATAAATTGTTTTACAAACAACAGATCAATTTCTACCACGACTTGGTGTATCTCCGTGCCGTCGAGCCCATGTTTGTAATTTCTGTTGCAGCTGTTTGCACTGTGGTGGGGTCGGTGTCAAGTCGCGAACATGTAGAATGGCCTTCTGGACAAAGTTATAAGTGTTGTATAAAGTGTGAGGGAATTGCATGTTAAACACCCAATAAGACGCAAACAAAGTGGCAAAAGCCATGGTGAACTCCTCGAACTCTTGTAATACTGTCTCCTCTGCAACTAAAAAGAACTCGTCGCTCTTAAAGATGCTTCCTTTTGAAATCAGAATTGGCACAACCTGTCCTTGCGCATCAACTTCTTCATCATCTTTAATTTCACGGATCATTTCAACAACATTTTCTCGGAATACTAATGGCAATAAACACAACGCTGTCACCATCTCCCAGTATTGCCGCAGTGCAATATTGTCTTGCTTTGCCGCTTCAGCTTGCCTTAATATAGGGGCAGCCCCAGACAAGGATTTGGCAGCTTCTATTATTCCCAGGGCATACTTCACACAATATTCTTGTATCGTATGGTCGAGGTCGACTTTGGTAATTCTCTGAAATTCTAAAAGCATCTGTTTGCTGGTGAAAAGATATGGATAGGTTTCAATCACTGACGGTATTCCCGGCATTTCAATATCGATAAACGACCGACGAACATCAAAAGTCTCTTCCATAAATTTCTGGATTTCTTCAGGAGTTTTGCTTTCTTTTGTTGCTGATTCTTTCTCTATCAATTTAATCTTTTTATCTCCATTTTCACCCTTCTCACTGGTGGAATCCCCTTCTGAAGAACTAGACTCAATAGCTACTAATGCTGTTGAGGGTATGGGGACAACTTCAGCTGTCATGGCAGCATGTTTCCGTTTTGTTTTCAACTGAGACATTTTCTATGAGCTTTTAGGGATAACCTGAAATATTTAGGATCAACATTAAAAAAAGAAATAATTTGACCACCATTAAATTCTGAGAGCAAAGGTACTTATTCAAAAGAACTTTTATTACTTCAGGTTGGTGAATTTGATAAGGTAGATTAAAATTAAAAGTTGAAGAGCACACACTAATTTCTGCTTTGTAATCATTGCATGATGAAGTCTAATCCAGGGCAAGTCACTAAATATTTTACCAAAGTGGAATGGTTTATTTTCTTTACTACCGTACTTTAGGGTTTGCTTAAATTAAGTTAAGATATCGACCATCTATTGAAGTGAAACTGAGGCTATACATTAACTGGTCACAACTTATCTATAGACCAATTCTTTTCTATTTAGTCCTGTAATCAAGCTGGTTTACATAGGCTTTATTACTATTTCAATATTGTATAGAGTGCATATTTTTTACCGGATAATCTAGTGTAAGTCCTTAATTAAATAGCAGATTTACAGGCATTCACAGTACAAACCCATAATATTGCACAAGCTCTTTTTGAGCAAAAGGATACTAAATTCACATTAATTATGATACATCGCTGAGTCACCTAAGATGGATGTTACCCGTACTTAATTATTTCAAATTTGTCATAAATAAATTAGTGTCCACAAGATTTTTGAAAGTGATTCAAAATTCAGACAGCAATTTTCTGAAAAGAACATATACATGCAAGATAACTGAAGGTTACATTGTATTCAAAAGCCAATGTGTCTGTGTAGTGGTTCATGATGAAATCAAGCCGATTCGGACCACTTAAGGACAGCTTATATAATGACAATGGTCAACAAGAGACATTTCAGTACATAATATATTTTCTTACTGAAACAGAATTACAGATTACCGCTATACATTTTAAAAAACAATAGGCTTCTGTATTGTAATGTTTATTAGATACGAATCTAAAAAAAAATAAAATGGATGCTCCCTTAATAATTTGATGATTTTATGAAAGTGACTTCGTATAAAAATGTTACTTCGTAGAAAATATTGTGATTATAATTATAAATATTTCAGTTCTTGGTTGTCACCTACATTCTCATTCATACATTTGATAAATGAAGGAATGGTTTAAAAGGGAATAAATAACTTGTTTACTTATCACACGATGCCACAATTTAGACACCCTGATATGAAACGCCTTGCCTTCACTCAACATATTGCGAGAGAAAATGTCGTCACAGTAAGCGTCATTTGATGGCAATTTTACACCACTTTCCTTCATGGACAACGTGTAAAAGATAAGGATTTGATCAATTCCCGTCTGTAACTCACCAACCTGGGTTATCGGGCTAGGATTGTCACCGGTACACAGAAATAAACCACCTGTTCAAAATCTTCACCTTCTTACTTTTCGTCTGCAGCCATCTTCTTGATGCAGGGACCAGTCATTGTATTAAGAGAGGAGAGCAGTTCATGGTTATTGATTTATATAATGACTTTTGCAAATAATTTTTAAACACTAAGAGCTCTATTACATTAGAGTTGACAAATGGTCGTAATGCTCATAATAGTTATGATTAAGATTTAAGATAGGTTACGCCACAGGTTAGCCTATAAAGTGAACAACGCGTAGTAATTTTGGCAGGAAAATCCAGTTTGGCCCCTATCCATCGTCTCATTATACACGGTTATTAGAAACGTGCTTCATAAATAAATTGATTTCGGCCAACAAAGTTTGAAGTATGACTATGGGTTTCAACTCTTCATTAAAAAAAAAAAAAAAAAAAAAAAGAACACCCATCACATATGGCTAATTCCATAGCTATGAATTTTGCTTTCGGGAACTTGGGGCATAACGGAAAACTGATTATCCATAACTAAAACCTCACGATAAACTTCTTTTTATAAGATATAAAAGTGCTGATACATCGACGCAAAGCAGAGCAACACAATTAATAGGCCTATAAACGTGAAATGCATCACCCTAAATGAACTTTTATATAAAGAAAATACTCAAATATATTATAACATAAATATATTATTCTGTTCAGTCACTTTAGACCCTTTATGACAGTAAGAATTATTTCGCGCTAGAATAGGATCCCCATATTTCAAATTTATAAGGATGGGCATAACAACGATGAGCCTTTTAAAAGACATTTCTAAACTTCCATATATTGAAAATATCAAGATTTACGACTGATCATATTATTGCACAATAAAATGCAGTTAAATAATACAACAGCCCTTCCCATTTCATTATTTTTGTTCATTTATAAATTTTGTGGCGTCCTTTTTATAGCAGAAGCGTGGGCATTGGGTATTCGGATGGCAGTGACAACCCCCGCGGTATATAATTATATATGTACATGTATATATTAAAGTAAAAAAAAAGTACAAGTACTTCTTTATTTATTGATATTTAGTACAAGTACTTCTTGATATTTAGTACAAGTACTTCTTTATTTATTGATATTTCGTTGCAAAATTTGCATGGCTTATGGAATTGGAAAACATCACATCAATTTAAAAAAAAAAGAGAAACGAATTCCCTTGGCAGATTAAAATGTATTTCACTAAAGCGTTATATAGATACGTACGTCGGAAATTAGTTCGTTAACTGATATCACCGGGCCTTGTCGGCAAACCAAGATATTAGGTGGGACAAAACATATTTTTAGTGCTCGATTTATAGGACTTTTAGAATTTAATAAAAACTATAACAATTTCTTGAAATTAAGATTTAAAACTGAAAATGACCCCCAAATTATGGTTTCTTCAGACAGTTTTGTATAGGAAATATTATTAGAAACTGTTTCTCTAAAAGCTATATCTACCTATAAATTGGATGAGATTGGCTTCGTAGGAATATTAGAAACTCTTTCTTCGAAGATATATGCTACATTTAAATTGAAGGAAATAGTTTCCGCAGAAAATATTAGAAATGGTACCACGAATGTTTTATATTACCAACCTTAAAAAGAAAAAGTTAACAAATTTATATAATAACAAAATTTAATCACTTATGGGGATACATTTTATTTTAACCTGTGAATCAAAGGGCCCCGCTTCTTTAAACCTATAACGGGATAACCATTCAATACATTACTGATCAATTTGGTGTTTACAACCTACATCTGTTTCTATGTTATAAAGTGGGCTGTTATAGACGTACAAATACAACAGCTGTAATTTATATGTTATAGTTTGATTTAAAAAATTATAGGCCTACATTTAGGCTATTTAAATATAATTTTACCCTACAGGCCTATTATCCGCTTTCAATGGCTCCCATGTTATCATATTGCGACATAATGGCGTATTATTCATGCATAGATACTGACCAGTGAAGAATATTCGGGAAAAGAGCGTGAATTGATTTATGAAATGAAAGATGGGCTAACATTGTTATTCATAAACATTTATGGCTATTAAAATAAACCAAAAATATGCCGGATCCCTATGCTTAAATTTTTTCATTGTCATAGTAATACGGAACTACGATGGCACTGGTCAAATTGACATGTCACAATGACCCACAAGAACGAGATGCAGGTGTTCTTATACAGCCAATATAATTTACGTCACAGAATAAAAGTAAATTTAGAACTTGCGGTTATGTGGACTTATATGTCTTATTCAAATGAGAGTGGGCGAATTGACTTTCACCATATCGATTTTGTGTACAGGGAGATGATTTTAGTAGACCCAATTCCTATATTATATGAGTTATCCATACAATTAGGAAAATTCTTAAACAAACAACACTTCAGTTATCCAGATCCAGTGGATATGTGCTGAAATTGCTCAGTTTGTGTTAAACGGACGAAACTTAGCAGTTTAAGATTTGGGGCCATTTCCATTGGTTTAATGACGACTTCAACCAAAATTTTAGATGAAGGCATATAAGCTCTTGCAAGCTTAGAAGGGTTCATTTTCTGTGTTAATTAAGCCTACTGAAAAGATCCCCCACGTTTGCAAAAAATACCCACTATCTTAAGGTTAAAGATACATTATGTAAGATTTAGATAAAGAACTAGCCATTCTTGCTATAATAGTTCGAAAGTAGATGATGTAAAATGAATAATTTGAATTTTTTTTTATTCAAATTACTCTATTGCAAGCGAAGATATTAGCCTTTGAAGGTTTGACAGACGTGTGCAATATATTTCAACCACCGTACTGGTTGATCGAAGCTAAGTCTCGGTCCTCCATATTTGATTAAATCAATGTATCGCTGAACCATTCTAATCTATTTAATATCGGAGAAATCGGGTGCCATCGAGAGTTGATTCAGGCCTGGATCAGTTAATTAATGTCTAATTAATACTTTAGAAAACATTTCAGGCCTAAAGAAAGACCTGCAATAGGCAGATTTAGCTCTTGCATTATGCATGTTTAAGTGGTCATCTTATCCCGGAGAATAGTCTAGTCATAGAACTGTATTATATACGATCTATTGTCTAGTCGAATTGGTTGATAATGTCAAAATTCCATTTTCTTTCCATCGAAGATAATTCGAAGATATGAAAAATAGCCGAATTGAACTGATTGGACACATATAGATTGAATGAGGCGAAATAAGGGTGTTGGGTGTTAAAGGACAATATTGGTGATAGAGCTGGTTAAACAATATAATTTTAACTCCGAGATCATTACTACGACAGATGCGTTATGAAGCTTTCAAGAAAGGGAAGTGACGAACGCAAAAGGAAAACACGAGTTATCCTTCTATATAACTGACTGAAGTGACGATGTGATAACAGATACACGGGCGAATTTCTGCACACTAATAATTCCTTCGAAGACCAAAAGTTGTTATGTGAGGCTATGAGAGGATATCTGATAATTCATAAAAGTAATTGAATGTCACTAGATAAGGGAAAAGCAGAAAAATCGAAATGGTCCGTAAATTCCCTTGTTTTTAATAAAAAACATGGTAATGCACGGACTTTATTTTTCTCGTCTGGTGACAGTCAATTATTTTTTTGGAATTGTCAGATATCCTCCCACAGTCTCATATAACCACTTTTGGTCTTCGAAGGAATTATTAGTGAGCAGAAATTCGACCGTGTATCTGTTATATCAGTTTAACCAGTTCTATCGCACAAATGTGAGAATGACTGACACCAATGTTGTCTAGCTTTAACATCCAACGGTATCTGCTTTAAGCCCCCCCCCCCCTCAACCCATTTCATTGTTCGTGATTTCTTATTCTGATCTAAAAATTGTCACTTTCATTACGCCAGAGGTGAGAAGAATTATCTCAGTTCACATGGTTAAATATACGGTGTGATTACCATTTGAAAATCACAGCAATAAAAATGAACTAATCTTAAACAAACAAAACAGGCTCAGTATATTTTAAAATTCCATGGTGTGTGTTGAATGTCCGTCCAATATCAGGAGAACTCTGTTTTCTATCGTTGCGCCCGAAACTTTAATGAAATGACGTAACCATAAATATACCCAGCTGCATCTGTCCGGGCTGGTGGCATTGTGTAAGAGATCCAGGAGGCGCACCGGTTTCATTCGCACTCTTGGAAAATGAATAGGAGGAAAGAAAGAACACGTAGCTCTCATTCAAATTTCAGCTGTGATGAGTTTCCCTCTTTCAGCTGACGTAAGTGACCCACCTGTCTTCGCTCCTTCTTATAGCAATAATTTTGATGGTCTGCAGTACTGTTGAAAGTCCCGTTTCATCAACAATATAAGATTAATATAACTCTTGTGGCTGATGTTGCCTCGAGGGTCCTTAATGATAAATTAGGAATTTAAGCCAATCTTTTCCCGCCATTCGTTTCTCTTCATCAAAGCGATGTTGAATATTGTTTTTAACAGCCATTGATATGCCAATCTTCATACATCCGATGCGGTATTACCAAACAGCACCCCTTCCATCTGTATTAAATATTCTATTAACTCGGCTTCAAGTTTTGCTGGGTATGTTTACAGATTTAATATTGAATTATTCAAAAAAAGAACAAAAAAGTTTTTTCGCATTACAATAATCTTAAAACGCCCCAATGATTTGCTTGCACCAGTAACAAATATATTCTCATCGTTCACCCGTCTTCGTCACGTGGATTTGAGGACTCTAACTTCTACTGGCTCGCTTTATTCACACGTCGGCATTTCGAACAGTAGTGATGGCCCTTTCCCTAACAATTACATCCCACGAATTTCTTGGTATACCTATAATACGTTTATATATTCTCGGCATCTGAAAAGCAGAAAAATGACAGTAAAAATTATGATTTACCTACTAGTAGACTCGAAAGGAAAAAATTACATTATATGCACAGCCTAAATTTTGAAGAAAAAAAAACAACCCCAGCCCAAACAGTTTTAACTATTACAGTTCAACGTATACACAGAAGTAGATCGGGCCAATGATCCGTCTTATCCTATATAGTTCTAGAGCTTAAAAAAGGATAATGTCTGCTGCAATTTTTATTTAA